CGTGAGAACGCCGGGGACCGGCCCGGATTCGCTGCAGCCACAAGAACTGCATTGTCTTAACTTGTGCCAACTCTGTTTCCAATTACGTTTTAATCATTTAGAAATGATTAGCAGTTTTTACGGCCTTGTTTGTGGGTGAATTTTCTCACCCCACGCGTTCTCGCTGCGCTCCGACGACGAGTCCTTTTATAGGCAAAAAAGCCCCCCAAATGCCTGCATGACTATTTACCTACAGCGTGTTTTATTCCTTCCTACATGTTAATGCTTTCTGGGTGCCAAGGCTCTTACATTTTTTGGTGAATCAATTGTGGTATTGTGCTGTAAAATTAAGCAGTTTTTTTTGGCAATCCTGAACAATGTAACTTCCACCGAAATGAAGATACCACACATGTGTTAACTGTGAAAAGTTTCAGCTCTGAATAGTTGCCTTGAAGCTTTTTGCAGTGAAAAGAATTATGTATTTTCCTCTCTTTGAAAATATATATATTTTTTCTTCTGGAAGCCATATTTAAACAGGCTGTTTTTGTAAAAGGCCCCTTTTTTGTTATCTTTAGTGTGGTTAGTTGCTTTATTGGTAATCTTGGTGGGTAACTGTATATTATTCACTCTATTGTTCAGCAGTACAAGAGAACCTTTGTCATACTCCCAAAAGGGCTATTTATATGGCGTGGCGCTTCGGAGGGCTTCTTCCTGAGCTGATGTTCTTCCACCTTCTGGGGAAAAGAAAGTAGTTCTTCCAAGAGGGAGCACAAGAGTGGCTATTTCTACCGCTTGCACCAAGCTCGCTGCTGAAATAAGAGTGATGTCAGGTTTTTGTGACACCTTCCAGAGCAAGCTTGGTGGTTACCCAAGGCTCGGTTGCACGTGGTTGAGGTTTGCCAAAAAAAGTGTCTTGCAATGGAGAGGTGTGCTTGGGCCCGGCGAGCAAACGGAGGTCCCCCTCACCGGTGCCACCCGGGACGTGGTGCCCGTGTGCGAGCTCCCCCAGGCTCGGGACCCTCAGGAGCTGCCCAGTGGGTCCCCAGGGACCCAGGAGGGCTTGGGAAGACCTAGAGCTTCTCGGGGTTTTATTTTTCGCTCGGAGGCTTCTCTTCAGCGAGGGATTTTCTGTTAAGTTGCGGAATAGGAGCAACTTCTTTGCTAGATGGGTATTGATGCTCTGGCTCTAGCGAGCGGGTAAAAGGCGGAGGGTGCGCTCACCTAAGGATTTCTGACTCGGTCTCGTGGGCTTCAGCGGGGCTCCTCGGACGAGCAGGGCTTCCCAGGGCCAGCCACATCGCGGTGCGCCTGCGGCTCTAGCCAGGCGCGCCCGGCGTGATTTGCACCCAGAGCAGCAACGTGCGCACGGCTCGCTGAGGGTCTGCGCAGTATATCCGCGAGTCAGGCTCTTAGCGGACAATAACCCCTGACAAGGAATCATCACAAACAACAATTTAACTTCTCTTTGGAAACAATAAGCCACCTTAGTTCAAAAGAATGCGAGCCTCGAGGTCAGCGATGGAGCAGTGCTTTGGTAGACGGAGCTTACATTTCACGTGCCTGCTTTGTATCTGACCTAGCGCGGGGCACCAGCCGCCGGAGCTGCGCCTTCCGTAGTGTTAGCAGTCATTAATGCGCTCGGAAAACTTGGGGAAACAGACACACTCGAGCATGAAAAGCCGCTGCCGACGGCGCTTGCATTTTAGCTCCCCCGTTAGCAGCACTGTTTCTTAGAGGGAGCGTAATTGCGGATTTTGGGGGGAGGTTTCCCCGCAGCTGAGCATCCGGCTGGATGCAGAACGCGGGAACGCTGGGTGGCCGTGAACTGTAAGCGCTAAAGCAAGTGTAAAAGCTGTGCTCGGTGGAGAGCAAGCTGCCTTATTTTGTGCGTACGTGTATGAGGGACGACGGTTAAGCCCTGTGGAAAAGAGACTACAAACGGGCAGGCCTCCCTATTTCGGATCATCCTTGAATTATTATTTGTGAAAGGAGCAAAACCCCTTTCTTTTTATATTTTCCGTTGCTAACCAGCTGTGCAAGAAGTTAAACATAGTAATTAACCCATATGTGACCCACTACATTTGACTGATTTGCAGGCAGGGACAGCACGGTAACTCTAGCTGGCAATTTGAACCTACCATGTTCGTAATGATGATTTTACAGTGTAATGGTCGCACTAAATCCTTTCACTTTTGCTCTGTAGCCGCTGTTGTGACAAGAAAAGCTGTGGCAACAGAAATGAGACTCCATCAGATCCGGTGATAATTGACAGGTAAGGACTGCTATTGTTTCCTTCTATACATATATATTTTTTTCCTCCTCATTATAATGAAACACCTGCCCTGTGTTGCTAATGGGGAAGAATTAGGAGTATATACGGATGAAGTTTTGTTTTTGATACCAAATTAGTTGTGCTTTGCAATCGTGATTGCCATGGAAGGGCCATATGGGATCTAACGGAGCGACCTGCTCTTTGGAAGGCTCCAGTTCTCCTAACTGATTCATGTGCAGCAGGAGGATATTTTTCTTTCTGACTTTCTGTGGCTCAATTCACATGCTGTGCCAGGGAAGCTTCAGGAATAAAATAATAATAGTTTGTGATTTATGAAATGTGGTTGGATGCTTATAAATATTTAACTTTTATTTGAAAAATGTTTGAATCATTATCACTTTTAGCTACAGTAGTTCTGTTGGATGCAATCCATCTACATTTTAAGGTTTTTATTTATGCGTAAAAACAGTTAAAAAAAATAGACCTGCAAACGAAGGTTTTTTTCTCCCGTTATTTTCTTTGGTTGGAATACTATTTTGACTGTATTGTCAGTTGATTAATTCATTTTTGCCTGCCTTAATTATTGTGTTTTTAAACAGATCCCTATTACTAATCCGACATCACCGAGTAAATCATTGCAGTACAGTGCATCTATTTTAGTTATTCTGAGCAACGTGTAGTTTCTGTGCTTGCAGTTATGCAAAACGGTAGCCAGATAGTCATTTTTACATTTTAATTGTTGAAATTCATTGTACGAAGCCACGTGTGATAACCAGGTTATTATGTAGCATTACTCCATAAGAGTTAAATGGCCATGACGTACTGAAACTGTCTGTCATCAGCTAGGGAAAGCAATACCATTGCACTAATCTGTGAATACAGTGACCCTGAAGGGAAACTACCTATACATATAGAAGCTGGAGTACAGAGCGGAGTCCTTCTTCTGGTATTATTGTCTGAGTTAATATTTGCTATATTAAGCTCAAAGTACCTTCTGTGCCAGGGTGTCCGTTTTTATGAAGAAAGGTGAAGGGAGGGTGATTTGTTCAGTGGCCCATCAAAACCGAATTAGAGAGGAGCGAGTATCGCAGAGCCTTGCCGGGCGTTGTGCTTATGCAGACTTCCAGATTTATAGTTCTTGTTTGAATTTGTTAAGAAAGTGCATATATTGGAAGCTTATAGCAGATGTTTTGATTAGCTGTAATAAGTGAACTTGCGAATGTTTAGATCTCAGAAGATCTATCTATCTGTTTTAACTAGGCATATTTTCATTTTCTGCGAGCATTAGGTAGTACCAGGGAAAGTGGAAAAAAAAACCACAGAGAAATCTGTGCAGAGATGTGTTTTATAAGCATGCTGCAGAGTTGAACACTATAAACATGGTGTTGGAGTGGCATTTTGAGCGACATGAAAGCTGCAAAATTCACATGAATTTTTCATTGTACTGGAAAGTGAGATGTTAGGATGCTAATGGCAGGTTTACGGAAATATTTTGTTTAACTATCTAGTATGCAAAACTGTGAGTTGCAAATCATTTTAAATTATGAAAGCCAGAGATGCTGTCTGTTACATGCTTTCTGCAAAATGAGCAAAACAGTTACACGGAAAAGCAGATTTAGCGTCCTAGCAGTGATCAAATTATCAGTATTTACGTAAATTGATGCAAAACGTAACAATTCTGAAGATTATATTTAAAATACTAGCTAAACATAATTTGAAGATTATAACATAAGCCTCTTACCTCACCAGCCGTACTAAATCACATTTTGCTTGTGAATGGGTTAAGCTTTTAAGTTCTTCACTTGGTTTTAAATTGTGACTTTGATACAGAAGGTTGATATGACTGTGGTTTGAATAACATCTGATTTTGACCTGTTCCTGTGGGTTGCAATGGGATAAGAAATTTGACTCAGCAGTACTGTAATTAGCCCTCCCTGTGTTTTTGAAACAGGATTGTGTTACCTGGATTGCATTAGTGTGGCTTCTTTTGTTGCCGCTTCGCATCTGTCCCAGTAGGGTACTTAAAACCTTTTCTTGGCCAGGGCTAGTTCAAACAATTTAGGCCACATAAGTATGTGCTTTATACAGTTAGTGGCTTTAGTGATGTTTCTTGTGACATTTATCCTATTCCTTTTTTTTTTTCCCGTTTGGTTTGGAAAGGATGAAGCGATCTATAGGGAGCCTTTTTACCTTAAAATGAGTCCTTTAACATTGTTCGAACGTTAAAATGCCTTGCACAAGCCAGAACATATGTTTAGTTGCACGCTATTGTCACTTCTGCATGCACGCAATTTTAAACTATTGTGTCAATTGATATGCAAAGCCATATTTAGCTATTTTTATTTGCATGTGAGCTTACAGAATTCATTTACCATTTGGGCTAAAGCACTCCCTCATGCCTTCAGTCTGATGATACAGTCTTGCCTATGGATTTAATCAAACTCTTGCATCGAATACTGTGAGTCCAAAGAATCTGATTTAACATAGAATCTATCCGTGGGATTTTGGACATATGGACTTGCATGGAAATGCAATCCTCTTCTTACGTGCTGGAATACTGTTTTGGATTGATTAATTCTCTTTGATGAGGCTAGAGATATGTGGGGTAGAGAGAGCTCAGTCTTTGGAGTAGTTTAGATAACTTGGTGAGGATGCTGTTTTGCAACTTCAAAGTTACTTTTGCTGTGCCCTTTTTTAAACCCTAGATATGTATGTGAAGAATAAACTGTATGTTTGATTTAATCAAAATGTGGAATTTAGAAAAAAAATCTGTAGGTACGTTTGAAACAGGATATGACTTTATTCTTTATAAAGTTCCTTTATACTTTGCTCTATTATAGTATCGGCAGAGGTAGCGGTGAGAGGGACCTAAAGAAATTTAAACTCGTGTAGTGCTCTGAATATTCTCTGGAAAACAAAATAAATCTGCTAGGCTTATAGAGCAGTCATTTCTAGGAAGTTTTTTGGAAGCGTGTGTGTGTCTGAATCATCATCATCTTAGCATAGCCTGTATATTTTATCGCTAATCCAGTTACATGTGTTCGGGTGAAGCTCTGATGAACAGGAGCTCATTTTAAAGGGATATTATTGTCACAATACAAACGCACGATTCCTCGTACAAGTACAGTAGTAGGGCTGTATTGTAATCATACTTAAAGGAAATACAGAGCACTTCCTGTTATTAAATTAAATTCTAGATTGATTTAACATTCAAATTGTAACTCATATTTGAATTTAAAAGGTTTGCAATAAAATTCCTGTGAAGAAATTGAATAAATTGTAGTTTTATTACCACTCTGGATATCCTGGTGTCCTAACCTTTTTCCTTACAGTTATCTTAGTTCAATAAATAAAACCTCATTAGACTATTCCCATTTCAACGAGTTTATTAAATTTTACAGGAGTAATTAGCATAAGCTGTGCTAATTTTTCTGGAAGACTAATGAGAGAGCTTCCTAATTAGGTTTGCTTTGTAAGAATCAGAAAAGATGATAGTGACAAAAGTCACATAGGGGAGAAAGTGGGGCTTTATATTATTCCTCGGTTCAGGAAAGAGGCTTCTCTCTCTCTTGGCATCCTTCTCCAAACTTTTAAACCCAATTTACTGCTGTAGAGACCAGTATTTAATGGCATTATCGGTGCCTGCTAGGGATTTCTTTACCTTTTATGGCTGGATCAAGTAAACAGTAGTCCTGTCAACTGATAATATAGAAATAATCATTGCAATCCCAAATATAGCGGCAGAAAAGCTCTCAGCAATGAAGGATCACGTTCTGTCGACCGCCCTGTGCTATGTAGCTCCAGGGTGTGATGTTGCATGACAGAGGGCCTGAGAACTGGCTCCAGGTGGTAGCTGCTGGTGCACCCCAAATTTTGACTCTTTCCAGGCTACATCACTAGGGTGACGATAGTGACCTGAAATGGCCTTTGCTAAGATTTACCAATACCGATGAGACCTGCTTAAAAAAGCTCACGGCCATCCGTCCTTTGGATAGATAAACTTCAGTTGCGGTGTAAGTTAATGGGCGTTGCGCAGGAGCTTGCTGGGTGACTCTGCGTCAGGGGAAGGTCGGTGCGGTGATCCTAAGGTCTCTTCTGGCCTCCGTCCAGGAACCGGCCAAAGCTTCTTGCGCGCCGCTGTGGATGTACTTTCTGAGCAATAAGACTCCATCCGGCTTTGAAGAGGCTGCTTGCGTATTGCCAGTTTGGTAGAGATCTTGTCGATAGAGCAGGGGTGGGGAACAGATGAGTTGGAGGCCATAATATTTTTTCCACGTTATCAGGTGACACGAAGATGTGTTTTAATGCATGGCCTGCTACAAGTGCTGAGAAGGCCCGTGCGACCCTCCGCCAGGCCGTTGCGACACCTGCCGTATGGGATGCTCGATGGGGCTCTCTTGAGCATGTCCATGGTGCTTCCAGCCACTGTGGTTGTGCAGGGAGCAGACTTACCTACCTATGTTTCTGAAGTCTTTCAGCCTGTAGCCTGAAAAAATTCATGTTTGTGGGTAGGATTTCACTGTGCAATGACATGAAAAGAGGCGCAAATGACTTTCACCATCTCCCTTTTACTGCTTTGCAAGTCATCATGTAATGAATTGTTTTTTACGGGCCTGATCGTTTTTTCATCCTAAATACCAGGCAAGTGGGAAAATGGCACAGGGGACTATGTCGCACTCGCTGTATCCTCCCCGCAAATATACTTGTTAGGGAGATGTGGCAATGAATGCACTTTGCAGTAGCTTTCCTTGCCCAAAGAGAAGGTAAGGGAGATGTAGGAGGCATGGTAAAGCAGGCCAGCTTACAGAAATGTCCTGGCAGGAGGAAGAGGGTGGGCATTTTGTCTGGGAGGAAGCTGCCAAGAGATGCTTTGCTGCAGGGAAGGGATCAGTGCCCGCAGCTGATCCCCAGCCAGGCTACAGGGACACTGGCCTGTCACAGCACCGGTGCCGTGGCAAAGTGGCAGGAGATGCCAGGAGCTTTGGCAAGCGGTGCCGGTG